TCACAATACCGGTTACCTCCAGGGATGGGGCTTACTGACCAGGGCAGCGCCCAAAAGAACCTTCTGGGGACATAATATAGCTTACATCTATATATGGTATAGACACAGATAAAATTCATCGAGATGTGCACTAAGATTTATGAACTTTTACAACAGTTATATCTCAGTTAAAAGAATTTTAAAACGCAAAACAGAACCTTGTGAGAACAGGTAAAAATGGAGCATAGCGCCCTAGGGTGAGGCACTGTGGGGAGCATGGACCTTGGAACCAGACTCGGTCACCTACAACCTGCATGACCTTGGTTAACTCACCTCAACTTGCTGGGCCTCAGTTTCCTCATCTGTGAACTGGGGATAATAACAGTACCTACCTCCAAGCGTTATGTGAGGACTAAATCACTTAAAAGATGCAAAGCTTAGGGTAGTAGCTACTATCTATTAGTAGTAAGCCCTAAATATTTATTTGCTGTTATGATGAATGGTTGAATATTCATCACTAGGGAGAAAGACAGTCTTACATAAGGATAAAAGGAACAACTTGCTGGAAACTTATAAAATGTCAAAAATCTTTTCATTTAATTCCATTGTTTCAAAATATATAAATTTAAAAACGGACAGAATCACAAGATTTATTCAGCAATCCACAGTGATGGTGGGAGAGTGTAACGTAGTTCTCTCAGTAAATGATAGATCCGAGACTGTTACGGACTGAACGTGTGTGTCCCCAAATTTCATACGCTGAAGCCTACCCGCAGTGTGCTGGTGTCAGGAGGTGGGGCCTCGGGAGGTGACTAGGTCATGGGGGTGGAGCCCTCACCAGTGGGATCAGTGCCCGTGTGAGACACCCCACAGGTCTTGCTCCCCTCTTCTTCCAGGTGAGGACACAGTGAGAAGGCAGCCATCTGTGAACCAACAAGGGCCCTCACCAGACATCAGATCTGCCAGCACCTTGATCTTGGACTTCCAGCCTCCAGAACAGTGAGAAATAAATTTCTGTTGCTTATAAGCCACCCAATCTATGGTATTTTTGTTATAGCAGCCCAAACAAAGACAGAGACCAATATTTATAAATGTGTAAAAGATTTTTAAACACAAATAATACACTTAATCCAGTGGACATATGTAGAATACATGGATTTCAAGCACCCATGAAGCCTTTATACAAAGTGACCACAGGGCCGGCCCCGTGGCTTAGCGGTTAAGTGCTTGTGCTCCGCTGCTGGTGGCCCGGGTTCGAATCCTGGGTTCACACCGATGCACTGCTTCTCCGGCCATGCTGAGGCCGCGTCCCACGTACAGCAACTAGAAGGATGTGCAACTATGACATACAACTATCTACTGGGGCTTTGGGGAAAAAAAAGGAGGAGGATTGGCAATAGATGTTAGCTCAGAGCCGGTCTTCCTTAGCAAAAAGAGGAGGATTAGCATGGATGTTAGCTCAGGGCTGATCTTCCTCACCAAAAATAAAAATAAAAAACTGACCACATACTAAGTTAGAGACTGCACTCAGCCCTAATAAACCACCCCTGCCCTCACCCCCCAGAAAAGACAATGTCATTACCAGTAAGAAGTGCATCTTGTTCACGTAACAGATGTTCAGAAATAAACAGCCCAGGTGCAGCCACACACAGACACCACTGGGGAACCAGGATGGTTGTGACTTGTGGCCACAGAAGCGGCTTTTACCCTCGTGGTCACAGGATGGCTCCTCTACGTCTGGACGTTGCGTCTGCTTGTACAAAGACAAGAGATGGAGGGGTCTGGCCAAACGTTCCTTCACGACATCTTTCCCAGGAGTCACCTCCAGTGACTTCTCATTCTCATACTGGCCAGGACTGGGGACGTGGCCTCCCCTGACCGTAAGAAGAACTGGGAGATGGAGGTTTAATAGAACACATTAACAATCTGAACAAAAAACCCAGGTTCTTCTGCGAGAAAGAAAGGGCAATTAGGGTAGGCAACTAGCAGGACATGCCACACTCGACCTAAAAGCAAATCTCAACAAATACCTAAGATTTGTTAACCTAAAGACCACAGACTCTGCTACAATGTAACTAAATTAGAAACCAACAACAAAAAGGCAACTAAAAAATAGCCAGGTACATGCAGGAACTTTCCACAATGATAGAAACATTCTGTATCTTGAATGGGATCTTGGTTACATATATGTACACATCTGTCAAACTCATCCAACATACACATAGGACTTATGCATCCTACTATAAGTAATAATACCTCTATAAAAATACACCCACGTACTATTATTTTAAAATTTAATTACAAATAATTCATGGGTCAAAGAATAAATGATAATTCTAAGACAATATTTAGAATTAAACCAAAATGGAAACATTAGACATCAAAACGTGTGATGTTGCTAAACGAGCACTATGAGAGACGATGATAGCCGAATGTTTATGTTTTTACACGCTGGAAGTTAACTAGCAAGGGGCCCGCCGCATGGAGGAGACCCCGATACAGGCAGGCCGCCATGCCTCACATCTCCTCTCCCAGCATGGACCCTTTTGTGCACAGTGAGTGAAGAGCTGTGTCTGAAGGCTTTCTCACACTGATCACACGCGAAGGGCTTCCCCGCAGAGTGCGTCCTCACGTGCACAATGAGGTGTGAAGACTGGCCGAAGGCGCGCCCGCACTCCTGGCACGCGTAGGGCTTTTTGCCCGTGTGGGTCCTCGCGTGCTTCCTGAGCGACGAGGGCTCACTGAAGGCTCGCCCGCAGTCCTGGCACACGTACGGCTTCTCTCCGGTGTGCGTTCGCATGTGACTCTTGAGGGTTGAGAGCCGACTCAGGACCTGCCCGCACGTGGCACACTCGTACAGCTTCTCCCCCGTGTGGGTCCTCTTGTGGACGTTCAGGTGGGTGCTCGTCCGGAAGGGCTTCCCACACTGGCTGCACGCGTAGGGCTTCTCCCTGGTGTGAGTGCGCAGGTGCGTCTTCAGCGACGAGTGTTCCCTGAAGGCCTTCCCACACTGACTGCACGCAAAGGGCTTCTCTCCAGTGTGCGTTCTCACGTGGCTCCGCAGGGAGGACGGCTGGTTAAAAGCCTTCCCACAGTCCCCACAAGCGTAGGGCTTCTCGCCCGTGTGGTTCCTCTGGTGCAAAATCAGGTTAAAGTTCCTGGTGAAGGTCTTCCCACACTGACTGCACTCGAAGGGCTTCTCTCCCGTGTGCACTCTCATGTGCCGCCGCAGGTTCGAGGAATACTTGAAGGCTTGCCCGCATTCCTGGCACTCGAAGCACTTCTCCGTGGTGTGAGTCTTCTCGTGCCGCAGAAGGTCAGAGCTGTATCTGAAGGATCGCTCACACCTGTCACACGCGTAGGTCTTGTCCCCACTACGGATCCTCTCAGGCATGAGCAGGTGAGCGGTCTGGAGGAAGGACTTTCCATTCTCTGGGCATTCATAGGGGTCCCCGCCAGCATGAATCCTCTGGCACTGAAAAAGTGGTTTGACGTTAAAGGGTTTCCCAAGTTCATGATATTTATAGAGCTTTTCTCCAGTCTGAGGTTGCTCCTGTCAATTGAGGAAAATATGAAGACCCAAGGCTCGAATACATCCATGGATATTGTCCCCCATGTGAACTGCGTGTAGGAGAAAGACATTTCTACAGCTGAAGCTTTCACCATTTTAGTGTCTGTACCATTTCTACCCTGAATTCTCTCAAGTGCACGTGCTGCCACAGAAAGCTATCATTTCCATTACTCTCACAGGGCTTCTTACATGCAGACTTTTCTACATTGTTTATGGCTAAATTAAGTTTTAAACACTTAACATCTGTTCACATTTATGAAAATGGTTACCTATGGGAACTCTGTGAAGACACATCTTGATCTACATTTAGAATTTTCCCCCAATTCATGACATTCACAGACTTGTTCCCAAGAAACTGCTTCCTCCTGGGTGAGCACCATTTGCCCTCAATCTCTCTGGGCTCTTGTACTGTTTTCTAACCTACAGCAAACCAGACTTTTCCTAGTAAAGGACCAACAATAATCTTTGTGTACCTTACCCTTTTCACGCCGATGGATGGAATCGCCACAAAAATATCTTGGTTAGGAATTGAATCTTGAAGTTGAGAGCCTGAAATGAATTGGGGGGAAGAAAATTAAGTATGCAGAGGAGGAAACGGTAGGATGAAGGTGACCCAAAATGTAAGCAAGGCATGCATGGATTTTTTTTTTTTTTACTGCTGATCCTAAATATGGGAAAAAATTGTGAAGAGGAAGAATGTTGGGAAAAAATTGTGAAGAGGAAGAATGTATCAAAGAGTAAAGAAAAATTTTATGATATTTGGCTTTGTGAGGAGTTAGGTAATCATAGGAACAGGGGGTGGAAACAGTAGATAATTTACTAAGAAATGATTCTATGAAGACCGGGACTGACACTGAGAGAAAGTCTTAGCAAGAAAGTGGAGTGGGGAGGAACTGGCTGAATATAGGCAGGGAAATGCTAAGTGTGAAGAGGAGGTAGGACAAATCTCTCTAAGACCAGAGTACAGCAACAGAGATAAGAAAAAAAAGAAGGTGGAATTCACTAAGGTGCTCAACCAAACACCTTCTCCGTCAAGGGCACTGAAAGTGCTCCCTTACTGACAATTTCCAAATCCAACACTCGTGTGACCGGGCAGAGCTGGCGCTCACCTGATCTGCCTGGCGCTCACCTGATCTGCCTGGCGCTCACCTGATCTGCGTGGCGCTCACCTGGGCGGCCTCCTAGGAAGAGTCCCCTCTCGGTGGTCCACAGCTCTTCTCTTTGCTCCAAATGGGAAAAGGCACTGGGCGGGCACAGCTGATCTCCTGCTCGTGGGAAAACACGCATGGTGTGGGCAGACTGCTCCCGCCATGAATGCAGGGTGAATGCCCTGAAGTCCTGAGGGGCACTGGAGACTGGAGCAGCAAAAGGAACATGCCCGAGTTCTGACGGGCAAGACAGAGCCCTTCCACTGAGGAGCCACCAGGTCCCTGAGGACAGTGGGACTCTCTGGTCCCCAAAACCCAGGACCTAGCTCAGAGACACGCCTGAGAAGCCCAGAAGCTTTTACCCACGGAGAAACAGCCATGGAGAGAGGACTTTCCACACTGTCAGCGCCATCAGGGCAGGACTCTGTCCTCACCTCTCAACCTCCCCGGCCAGCACAGTTGCTGGGGACCCACAGTGCCTGCACGAGTGTGTGGGTGAAGCGCAGAGGCCGGCCTTACCCACGGAGGCCAGGTTCCTGTAGTTCTCCAGCATCACGTCTCGGTATAGGCTTCTCTGAGCAGAGTCTAGAAACAGCCATTCTTCTGGGGTGAAGAGCACTGCCACATCCGCGAAGGTGACCGGTTCCTAAAACACACACCCATCGCAGCTCAGCCAGGCGCCACCCCCACCAATACTCAAGAGGATGGTGGGGGGCTGGAGGCCTGGGGAAGGGAGGCCCCGTGCAGAGGATTTGCAGACAGGGTTCTGAGGTCTCTCGGCATCTGCCCCTCGGCTCACCCTCAGAACTAGCACTCCTCTCTCTCTTCCCTCTCTGAGTGACAGCATCCAAAAGCATGGCATCAAAGGACCTCAACTTCACGACAGGACTCAGCTACTGACAATGAGGCAGGAAGCCCCTGCAGATGCATTTCCCTCCAGCTCCAGCATCCAGCTGCATCCACCTGCCACATGCAGGTGGCAGGCCAGAGAGAAATATGTGATAAATGACAAGGGGGGCTCACATCCTCGCTCTGCTTTCCCTCCTGACGCTTAGCGGAACATGGCACTAGACAGCCTGGGCAAGGTCTGACTGAGGGGGTGGGATCGTTGCCCACCCACTGCTGGGGGCCCAGAGCCTGGAAGCCTAGAGACCAACCCTGTGGGGTCGAGACTCAACAGGCCCCAAGAAGGGGACAAGAGGGCAAAGCAAGAAAGAAGAGCCCCAGGGAGTTCTTACTTACCCGTGGACAGGGGGTCAGCACCCCAGGAGCTGTGGCTTCTTCCTCTGCGCGCTCCTCCCAGAACCATGTGGGGCCCTGAGCAGGGAGAGCTGGAGGAGGAGAGGGGGCCGTGAGGGCCTGCGCCTGGCCTAGGGAGCACTCACAGGACCAAGGGCTGTCCAGCCGGACAGTGAGTGACCACGTGTGCACACATTCACGGGGACACATGTTAATGTACACAGAGACACACATGCACATACGCTTGCACACACACCTGCTGAGACACACATGCACGCTTGCCACACAAGTACACACGCATACACACATACACAGACTCGTACACAGACACACCACATATACGCTTGCATGCACGTATACACACAGACAAGCACACATACACACACAGAAATATACAGACACACGCAAACATGCACATACACGCACAGAAACACCCACACACACGTTTCCTCCATTCCATATCCCTAGAGCGCACAGTCTCACTTCACGAGCAGACTGAAGTGTCTGCAGCGCCCCTACTCCCCCTTGGTTCAGCC